TGCTTGCTAATTTATTTTGAAAATTAATCTTATTTTTAGATTTAGAGTGATTGTTAAAATTGTGATAAGTTGCTTTTATCTTCAACTGTTCTCCAAAAATAAAAACAAACAAACAATAAAATAACAAATAAATACAATAAATAACTAAATAAATAACTAAAAAAAGAGCATGAAGGAGATTCCATGTTAATTTATTATAATCTAAAATTATAGAAATTGTTAAATAAGGTATGACAAGGTATGTTTCTTGGCAACTGTCCTCAAAAAAAAAACATGAAATATAATAATAATCTTCAACTGTTCTCCAAAAATAATAAAAAACAAACAATAAAATAACAAATAAATACAATAAATAACTAAAAAACAGAATGAAGGAGATTCCATGTTAATTTATTATAATCTAAAATTATAAAAATTGTTACATAAGGTATGACAAGGTATGTTTATTGGCAACTGTCCTAAAAAAAAACCCATGAAATATAATAATAATACTATAAATAATAATTAATAAAAAATAGTAAAAAAAACAATAACAATAAATAATAAAATACATTGATTGAAAGAGAACCCATGTTAATTTATTATGATTTTACAAAAGAACAATAAGTTGGCAGAAACTATGGCTACCAAGGTCAATTATTGTAAGGGACACACAAATACTGACCTCCTGAGCAGCAGCAGGATCATCTGTGATGTCAAAGATGACCGCCTGAGCGCCTCTCTGAAGGGCCAGACGAGCCTGAGAGACACAGAGAGACAGAGAGAGCGTTAGTTGTGTTGTAGAAACCCCACGAGCCAGCAGATGGCAATCCTATCACATATTTGGAGCCACTGAGTCCTGTCATTATGTAATTCAGCACCGCTTCTGACCCCTGTGTGTGAGAGAGTTTGTCTGTTAAAGTGACGGTCTGCACTTTCAATAACTTCTTACCAAATTCCTAAGACATTTTAAGAGACTACGACACATATGAAGTCAGTAGAGATCGACAAACAATGAAATGTACCTTTTAAATTCTTCCAGTTGAAGGGAAGATCTGCACCAAAACACACATGCACTACATTTGTGCCGACAACAAATGATTTAACACTTCAGGTTAGGAGTTTGTTCAAAACACTAATCCTTAGTATGCTTAAATTAGCAATCAAACAACTAGTGAAAAGCACAATAATTATTGTGATGAATTATCAGTAAAGTATAACCTCCCTAAAGTCTTTAGTGCAGTTTAGAGAAGAAAAACTGAGTTCATACACTACAAAAACACTAGTACTTCCCTTCCACGGTGTCAAATTCTCCCTGCCTTTGTCAAGATAGATAGATGCGCTTCATGTGCGACTGGGAGGGAATTCTGCCCAAACAATGACCAATAACTCACTGAAAGTCTATTTCCTGCCCAACTACTGCGAGTTCAAAGGTCAAAGGTCACAGTATGAGCTGCAGGAAAGTATACTGCTGCGTTTCAGACATTGACCGTGTGTGTGCATTTAGTTGTGGTAAAGTGATTGAGCGCTTATAATTAGCAGTGCTTGCAAAGTCAAGCATTGCCATCATTGTAAATTAGACTGAAGGCTAGTGATTTGAACAAACCCAAACTCTAATTAAACTTCGGCGCGTGTGTGTGTGTCGTCCTGAAGCGTTTGTGCTCCAGACGTGAATGATTCACTCATGTGTGTTGTTGAGGAGACGTGTGCAATTACTAGGTGATCAGATGCACCATTTTCACCTGCTGGACCAGAAAACAGGTGAAAAGATCCCACAGACGCACACTGAAGGAAACTGTTTACACAAAAGACTGCAAGAAAACACACAGAACGCCATAGAAAGTGCACACAAAATTCTAGCATCGTGGCGATAAGTTTTGCATGGCAAAACATACTCTAATTTATCAACATGATCACAACTTTGCTGTTAAACCTGTTTCACACAATCTACTGCATGCCTTCTGCTGTCGGACTAATAGTTCAGACTTGTTTAGCTAGTAAAAGCTCTTTTAGTGTAATTGTACAAATGTCCACCTTCAACTCGTGCTTAACGTGTCTTTTTTCTGTCAAATCTTTATTGATTTTTATCATTAGAATAACTGCAGTAATATTTCCAGATAAACTCTTACTGGCTACACATACACAGAGAGAGAGAGAGAGAGCTAACAGGTTTAACCGAGCATGTGCACGGAAATGGTCAGTGTTTTCTATAAGAGCCAAAAGCATTCAGATTACTGGCTCTGAGATTTGCTCAGTGTGTGAGAAATCTTGAGAAACTTGTTAAGTGTGAGTTTAGTCTCATCTGCAGGGTTAATGAGAGAGTTCATCTGTGCGCGGAGTGTAGTGTGTGTGTGTGTGTGTGTGTGTGTGTGTGTGTGAGTGTGAGAGTCAGTGCTATCTGTCTGCTTTCAGCTGATTGGCCGGGTGAAGCAGGAAGAGGCGGAGCATCAGTGAGCAGTGTGCTTGATGTGGGGTATAAACTCATGACAGCTGATGTGTGTGTGTGTGTGTGTGTGTGTGTGTGTATTTGGAAGAACAAGAACTGACAGGATAGAAGAAGCCAATATAGTTCAGTATAAAAAAATAAAAATTCTGACAAATAATATTTTTATGTAAAGTTATAGGAATATTTCAGCTAAAACTGAAAGTTTAGTTTAAAAATCATGTTGTTTAAAACCTGCATGACTGACTTTCTTCTGTGGAACACAAAAAGATGCTTAAAAGCATAGATTGCATTAGTGCCGCCCACTTTTTCAGCTGCATTGGTTCTAGAAGTATTTTTCTCATAATTTTTTCCCCCATAGGTATTTTTAAAAAGTGTTTGTTAAAGAGTTATAAGTTGTGAACCATATCAACCAGCTACGAGGAGAATCACAACATTACAAGCACTGAAGCATTGAAATGATTGAAAATCAGACTAAAAAGATACAAGACTGTGAACTTAACGGCTTTTATAAGGGAAAGAACTACAATCCCATGAAGCATTGCGAATGACATAAATGAAAAACTATTGATTCAAAGATGTTGATTACATATACAGAAACAATATCTTATAAATGTATTGCAAAAATGCATTTATATACAAATATTTACTTGGTTTAGGAATGTAGGGGGAATTTGTAGTGCTTCATGGGAGTTCTTTAGGCGAGATTTGCTTCTCGCGATTCTCTGATTGGTGGAGATTTCACTGCAGAATTATGGGTAATGTAGTTTTTAACTAGGAATTCCTCTGTTAAACAATTATTTAAAAAATAAGTTGAAATAATGGGAACTGATGGCTTCAACAAAAATAATTATCAATATATTGATTAACAACGATGGAGAAAATGAATGGAGTTCACGCTGCTCTTTACTGTACAATGGAAGCAGACAGTGACCAGGGGCTGTCAAGCACTAAAAATGACATAAAACTACCATAAATGTATCATAAATACAGTTTATATGTCTCTGAACTCTTGATATAGTGCATAACTTGGCACTTCTTTAGTGTTTTTTTGTCCTTTGCATTGTAAAAAAACAGCATACAGGTTTGGACCGACATACGGGTGAGTAAATAATGACAGAATAAAATATTTGAGTGAATTATTAATTTAAACAGACATTAAAGGTGGATGGTGAGATAAAGGTAAGAAACGCATTGAAATCACCATTAGACGTCCCTCCTCATCGTCTCTTTCTTTCCCTTCACTTAATCACTCGACGGTTCTTTCGATCGCACTAAACAATCATCCCTCTATCATCTACATTAATGGATGTTTGTTAATTCAGCTTGATCCTTTGTTCTCAGAGCTGTTGGTTTATTTCCAGCCCGCAGGCGAAGGGAGCCCGTCCAACACCGCAGAGACAAAACCCTCGGATAGATTCCCTCAGATAACCTCAGATGATTAAAGTAAGCCACACACAAAGAATGAAACTCAGTCATCTACTGTAATAACTCCACATTCCTGAAATGATCTACTACAGTAGCCTAACGTCTCACTGGCACCCAGACACTAAATAACGATCTCAATATTGGGCCGATCTACTGAAGCCTAATATGGCATGTATAGCAAACAGAAATATATACAGGTATATGTTATAAATAAAATAGAAACATTATTACTTTTTTAATACTGTTTAACTTTTGAAGTTATGTAATTGCAGTGTATGTGTCTTATCATATATATATATATATATATATAGTGTTAAAATGTCAAATTCTGTCAATTTAATGACTGTTTTTCATATATATATATATATATACATATATATATATATATGATAAAAATATGTATACTACAATCATATATTACATTCAAAACTTGCATTAGATTATACAATTGTAAAATTATCATTATAAAATTTCAATTTAGATTATTAACTCTAAATGAGCAATACAACTGTACAATACAATACAAAAATACAATACAGTACTTATTAATCTTTGTTCATGTTAATTTACAAAAATACACATATAACTTATTTGTGCATGTCATGTTCAAACTAGTGCTGTCAAACGATTAATCGCGATTAATCACATCCAAAATAAAAGTTTTTGTTTACGTAACATGTATGTGAAAACTTTTATTTTGGATGCGATTAATCGTTTGACAGCACTAGTTCAAATACAATAAATTATATTAACAGGTACATTTTTTTATTTTAACAATGTATTAGTTGAAATTAATAATGTATTAGTTGAAATGAACTAAAATTAATAAATGCTTTATTAGTATTTTTAATTGTACTTAAATAATTGGAAGGTGTTACTAATATAGAAAATAGAATATGAATATATACATATTAATAATATAATATAATATAATATAATATAATATAATATAATTAATTTAACATTTTTATTCAAAAGCAGACCCAAAATCGTAGCATACCCAAATACTAGAGGTAATATTGCATGTTTAAATCTTGACAGGTTTACAGCGGTAAACTGCTCCGTGTGAGCATGATCTCTGACAGGTTCAGTTGTGATGTGAAGCGTGAGTGAGGAGTTTCCAGTCTGTCCTCGGGCTTAATTAGGCGCTTCTTCCTGTGCTTTCATTCGCCACATGAAAACATTCCTGTTTTGATCCGTATCCTGTTATTCCATAAGATCCGTGAATCCGATCTACCCAAAGTGTTCAAGCACTAATCTACACGCTTTCTCACATCTTCTGTGCTGATTGAGGGGAAATCTGTGGAATGACTTTAAAGGGGTCATATGATGCTATTTTAAAGATCATTATTTGGTGTATTTGGTGTAACAGAATATGTTGACATGCTTTAATGTTCAAAAAACACATTATTTTTCAAATACTGTACATTACTGTAGGTCCTCTATGCCCCGCCTCTCTCAAACGCTTCGTTTTCTACAAAGCCCCCTCCTTTGACAAGCGCAGTCTGCTCTGATTGGCCAGCTGACCCAGTGCATTGGGATTGGCCGAACACCGCAAGTGTAATGTAACCGGAAATGTAACGCCCCTTACCATAATCGCCAGCTTCAGCTTTCAAAGTGAATATCAAGACAGTTAATAATGTCGTTAGTTTTACCATCAGTTCAAGCCCGAAAGGACAACAGAGTCGCGTGACAGACACAGTGATGAAGCTGGTA